ATTTAGATTTTAGTAAACTGGAGAAACAATTTGTAATTACATGTATTATATCTTTTGGAAAACTTTTTTTAATTTACTTGCACTCATTTTACCTCATTGAAAACAAGGAGAAGACTAGTAGAAGGTCTCTCAGCCCAACTCTTCTTTTCCTATACATACAATCATGTAGTTCATAAAGCGGTCGGTAGCAAATTAAAAGTGGACACCCCCTCCCTAGATAAACCCTAATTTTCAATGCCTATTTTTGTCCCCCGCTTTCGCGAAAGCGAGGGGACATTAAATCTCATTCGTCTGTCTGTCTGTCCGTCTGTCCGTCAGTCTGTCCGTCAGTCTGTCCGTCACAAAAACTTTAACCTTGCCCATAACTTTTGATTTAGTGGAGCTATGAGTTTCATATTTCACATGTGTATTCTTTTTGACAAGACCTTTCTTTGGGTACCACCACATTTGACCTTTTGACCTTGACCTTGGAGTTTGACCCACTTTTATACAAAAAATCCAAACTTTTACTTTGGCCATAACTTTTTAATAGTAGGTACTAGGACTTTCATATATCACATATGTATTGTTTGTGGCAAAACCTTTCATTGGATAACAACAACCTTGACATTTTGACCTTGATTTTGGAGATTTACGTACTTATGAAAAAACTTTAACCTTGACCATAACTTTTGAACGGTGAGGACGAAGGCTTTCGTACTTCACATATGTAATCCTTGTGAGAAGACATTTCATTGGATACCAATAACTTTTGCCCTTTGACCTTGACCTTGGAGTTTTAATTACATTTTAAAAACTTTAACCTTGGTTACAACTTTTAAACAGTAGATACTAGGACTTTTATATTTCACATATGTATTCCTTGTGGCAAGACATTTCATTGGATACCAACAACCTTGACCTTTTGACCTTGACCTTGGAGATTTATTTACTTATGAAAAAACTTTAACCTTGACCATAACTTTTGAACGGTGAGGACTAGGGCTTTTGTACTTCACATATGTGATCCTTTTGAGAAGACCTTTCATTGGATACCAATAACTTTTACCCTTTGATCTTGACATTGGAGTTTTAACTACTTTTTAAAAATAATTTAACTTTGGTCACAACTTTTGAACGGTAGACACTAGGACTTTTATATTTTACATATGTATTCTTTGTGGCAAGTCCTTTCATTGGATATCAACAACTTTAACCTTTTGACCTTGACCTTAAAGATTTATGTTCTTATGAAAAAACTTTAACCTTGACCATAAATTTTGAACAGTAAGGGCTAGGGCTTTCATACTTCACATATGTAATCCTTGTGAGAAAACTTTTCATTGGATATCAACAACTTTGACCCTTTGATCTTGACCTACTTTTAAAAAACTTTTTACTTTGGCCATAACTTTTTAACGGTCAGGATTAGGGTTTTGATCCTTCAAAAAAATCAACTTCAGTGTAACTTTCTAAATAAATGAAATATGATAGGATGTTGTATTACACACAATATGTCATAAAAATAACATCTCACCCACAAAGACACCGAAAGCGGGGGACCACAATTCTTTGAATTTGCTTGTATGTATATCTTTGCAAAACATTTGTGTGCCTAAGCCCCCCCCCCCCCTTCCTCCCCCCGGTACCGATATCTATGCTACACCCAAATGTATATATTTATTTAACTATTATGACGTTGAAAACTTTCAATTCATTTTAGTTTACATATCATGCATGTAAACTAGTAAAAAATGAACAGTAAAACATTTAAGAGAGAGAGAGAATTTTCAAAGTATGGAAAAATCAAAATCGCTCACATCCTTAAATGACCTGATCACCGAAAAGTTATCAAACAGGTTCAATTAGTTATTTATCATACATAGGACTTGTAAGAATATAGACCAAGCCATACACGTTTTTTCAAAGTGTTAATATGGTCGATAATAACGCACTTTGAAAAGGAAATTTTATTTTTTCAAAGTGCGTTTTGATTTGGTCCCAAATTTAACGCACTTTGAAAAAAATTTCAAAATGCGTTGAAACAGAGCACACCAAGATTTTTAAAAAGGAAACCCTGTGCAAATTCAATAGCTTTACGATTGTTATTAATTGTGTCTGGCCGATATTATAGAACATCATATTAAATTTTGAATTTGACTGCATTTTATTGTAAATTGAAAGTACTCTTCATACTAGGCATATTAATTGTTAAACCTATAAATCACAGGATGTGCCTTCTTCCCAAAATCTCAGTGGAAAACCAAGGTTCTGCTTCCTCAATACAAATATCTAAATTGTCAGGAAATTGATACAGTTATCATTTAAATCAGAGTTTAAAAATGTTCAATCTGTTACAAATAGTAATTCAGAGAATCTGCATCCGCCCTAAAGGAATAAAGAAGAGCATGTGCGAATCAAGGGAGGAGTCAAGGGGGAATCACTTAGGTAGGGCGGGCGGGGCCATAAGGAGTTATGGTATAAAGTGTATTTGTACAACCTCAAAAGCTTCTGGAGATTTTGCCAGGAAATGAAAGTTATACACAAAAACAGAGTGTATGATTTATGACCTTGATCTTTTGACCTCAAGATCAATAGGGGTCTTCCATAAGCCAGAGGGAGTTCTGGTATAAAAAGTTATTGCAAACGTGTAATGGCTTCTTGAGATATCGTGCAGAAACGAAAGTGTTAAATCAGACAGAATATTTAAATTATTAGCCTTCTTTCCTTGGCCATGTGTAGTTGTTGTGTACATTTTCACCGCAGAAGCTGAAGGGTTTCTCTAGACATCGCGAGGAAACGAAAGTATTACAAAAAAGACAGATCTGCAGACAGACGGACAGACAGACAGACAGATATTAATATTCCCCACATTCAGCGAATGACAAAAAGTAAATTTTTAAATTAACTGAAAAAAAAAATTATGTGAATAAGAGAATTTTCATTAATTGAACTTCACACAATGATATTAAATTAGTTTGTATGAAAATTCAATTGTTTCAGTCTATACTTTAAATGTAATTATCTTTTTGATGAAGAAAGAGATACTTTTAAAAGTAATTCATGCCAATTTGCCATATCTATCGGAGAAAAAAAAACAAGTCTGGTAATAAAGAAAACGTACTCATATTGATTAAATAAAACCTTAACATGATGGATTTATTTATATCAGGAATGATTGATTAAAGAAGTAGTATTAAAAGTCAAGTTAAAGTAATGAATTCTACATCTTTATGTCGTATTAATCAATCATAGCATGAAAACCTCTTTTTTTCCCATATTCTTTTGCAGTGATGTGAGGGTCATATTCTTAGGCTAGTGAGTACTTTGGGTGTTTTATATTAAAATAAGACAGACTATTTGTTGCCCGAGTAGCTGCACAACTGTAGCTCCCTGCTTGCGAAAATTCGGACAGATAAAGCAGAGAGCTACAGGTCCAAGCGTTGTAAAAACCTTTGATATACTTCGACGACTTTTTGACGATACTTTAGGTAATTTATTTCGTGTAGTTTAAGCTTTATCTGGCTTTTAGAATGGTATCCTATAATAATTCATATATCTAAAACTAATATTTGATACTGTGTTTACCTTTTAATGGTCCGAAACAGTCGTGTATGTAGTTTTGTAATGTCGGTTTCAAAGAGCTCCATTTAGATGTCCGTAACTACAAAGAGGCATTTGTTAGCGTTGAGAGGTAAGTAAATAATAAAAAAATAAAGTTGAATATATGATTAATTATTAAATACTATTTAAAATTATTTTCAAAGCCGGGGAAAACATAAAATACAGGGAAGCATAAAATACACCAAAAAATACTCATAGTGAGCAACAAAAAATTATCGGCGTAAGTTGAAGGTTTTTACAACGTTTGGATCTGTAGCCCGAAGGGCTTTATGGAAGATTTGATCATGTGTCAACCCGTTTTACATCCCAATAACACTCAAAAATGATACCTTATTATTTATGTTAACATTCGGACTTATTCATACTTTAAATTTGCCTGATTGTGACTTTTAACGTGTGAAATTATTTATTTTTAAAACCTTTTATACTCTTTTCCCGATCAGGTTCATTCTGTAAAACTAAAAAACATTTATGTGAGCAAGCTCAAAAAGCCATGTATGGAATTATACGAAAAAATAGACAATTTAATTTACCAGTAGATTGCCAGCTTGATTTGTTCGATAAAGTTGTCACTCCAGTACTTCTGTATGGATGAAATATTGAAATAATTGAACGTGTTCATCTTAAATTTTTGAAATATATTTTTAATCTAAAAAGCAGTATTCCCAGTTATATGGTTTATGGCGAAACGGGTCGCTTCCCTTTGTATATAACAGTGTTTTCAAGAATGGTATCCTATTGGGCAATTGGTAAGCCCTGAAAACAAGATTGTTTCTGTGACATATAGACATTTATTTGAACAGTTTTGTTCAAGAAGTCATAAGAACCCTTGGATTTTATGTATTAAGAATATACTTGATTGTTGTGGCTTCTCAAATGTATGGAATGAACAGACCTTTTTAAATATTAAATGGCTAAAAGTTATAGTTGAACAACGTATTTAAGAGCAGTACATACAGATGTGGCGAAGTAATCTTTAGCAGTGCCACCCTTAAAGTACAATATTTAATATGAAAGAGGGTTGAATGTATTCAAGATTTAATTATTGTGTGTGTGCGGTTTTAATTGAATAAGCCCTGAAACAAGAATATATGTGAATGAGGTTTTTTCTGTATTTGGATTGTTCTCCAATTACGGTAGAATTTCATTCGTTACGTTCCAAAACACTTATATAACAATTTACTCGGTGGAAACAATAATTAAACATCTCTATACATGGAAAACAAGAAAAAATGTCCGTATTTGTGAAGTGTTTGAAACAACTCAAATATGTCAAAATAAATTCGTCAGAATCACATGAAATGTTTTATTAAGGATTTTTCTTCCCTGTTTCACCAGTCACTGTGGTCTGATTCTATATGTAAGATTGAAAAGGAAGCGCTTTTTAGTCGCTGATTAGTGGCACGAAAAATCAAAGATTCCTAAAGAAATTTCAATTTACCCTGAAGGTATTGTATCTTGTTTATTTTTTTTTTGATTATTTTCTTTTTAGAAGACATATCTTGACTTGTATTTGTCATTTTATTATTTGCCATTTGGCATCTGTTCCTAACGCTGATGTTTTAGATGCTACTCTAGTTCAGTATTGTTTCCATTGACTTTGAGCTTGAATACTGTTCGTTATTTCCATTTAGTTCATGCTAAGAAAAAGGATGTAGATTATGAAAACAAAATTCTCAAGAATTTCATGTATTTTTTTTACACTTCCCAAAACAGTTTAAGTAAAAGAAGTCATTCTTGTTGTGTGTTGAATGCAGATAAAAGGGTTATTAGAAAGATTCGCGGACGATTTCAAGCGCGCTATTTCCATGGAACCGGTTGAATTCTCCAGGTAAAATTATTATACTTATTTTTCCAATACATGTACAAAGATTTGGTGTTTTCCGGTGATCCTTATAATTAAAAATATATAGTCGTATTATCATGATAAAACATGAATCGCGGGGCATGCGATTTTTTCTACACGTTTACCATGTTAACATAAAATATACTTTTAAATAAAATCAAAAACTGTTTAATTGCAGCGCAAAAATATTTATGATGATTTATCTGTCGCTATAGTATTCATTAAACGCCACTTTGCGAAATTTTGAATTAAGTAGGAGCGGAGTAGTATAGGGTCTTTTTATGCCATTTATACGTGTACATTTATATAATCAACGCGTAAAAACAAAGCCTAGATTGTGAACGTCATTGGAACGGTATGGAGCACCGATGCTTTTAGATTCTGCTGGAAATTACCTACACGCATAAGAAACAAAAGTATTCAAATGGTTACCGTAGTATTTTAATAAGGATGGGAGGATCAACATTTTTAATGATCAACTGCTGCGATACCTCAGTACTTCCTTATGCTCCTATAGATTAGAATTGTTTCCTTAAATGATCGCTTAAGTGCGTAGACATTTATTTTAAGATCTCACTAACATCTTCAATTACACAAAAGACATTCTAAAAGAAAACAAAACATATCTTGATATTTATCTAGTTATTCAATTTTTAAGTAAAAAATGACAAAAAAAGTCTAAAGAAATGAAAGAATTTAAGGACTAATTCTCTCTTCTTCCCTACATAGCCAAACGCGTGGCGCAGTGGTTAGAGCGTTTGCTCTAGTAACGTTAATGGCAAAAGAAATTTTGTTTTCAAGCATTTCTGTGACTTAAACTTATAATAGAAATGTGACCCAAACTTCTTTCTGTCTTGAAAAGCTTGCAGTGTTGGAGACTATAATTCCCTGGGTGAAATCTTTCACTTCATGGGACAAAAGCATTAAAAAAATTTTAGGGTCGGCACTATATATGTGCATGTACAGTGAATATATATTATCAGGAATTTTATGTATTTCCTGAATTTTAGGAAATATGTGAAAATTTGTTAAGGAAATATTTGTATCTACTGTGTTCAGTTAATATTTAAAACGTGTGGGATAATGTAAAATATTAATGATAATGAATCCTAAAATATTGAACAAATATGAATTGGTTTCAACGGCATAATTGAGATAAACAGAAACTATTTTGAAACACTTATCAATATTTATTTGAGTTTTTACAGGTCCAAGGGGCATCTATAATTTTATTCTTCTAATGCTAGGCAAGCCCACCGCAGCTGTTTTTTTTAGTGACGGTATAAATGTAGACAATTTAACAAACAATAATGGGATCAGATTCACAAGCTTTGATTGTTAAATACGTAAAATATTAAGAATTCTGAAATATTGGAATGCCATTATTAGGAATCCAGAATGCTAAACTTGATTTCATTCTCAGTAAATCATAGCTAACACCAGTCACAGTAGCCTAGTAGCATAACGTTCGATACGTGATCGGGAGGTCCGGGTTGGATTCTTGTTTGCGGCGCCGCGTAATTCTAAAGACTTAAACATAAGTAGTGACAGTTCCTTTGCCAAGCGCTCAGCACTAGAAATGAAAGTCACGGGTCTTTCAGATATGACCTTAAAACGACTACTAGGTCCCGTGTCACGGTGGGCGTTGAGACGATAAAGAACCTGATTAATGGCCCTGACTGCAGAGTATAGGCCTAAATTTGAAGCCCTTCACCGGCATACGGAGATGTCTCCATATGAGTAAATGTTCTCGAGAGGGACGTTAAACAATATACAATCAATCAATCATAGCTTACAGCAAACACAAGAATATGTTTGGCAAGAAAAAGGTCTCACATTAAATGAACATCATATTATGTATTTGCAACCCCCTGATTAGTGTACTTAAGTGTCAAAACACTCTACAACTACATGTACTTGCATAACTTCATACAAAATAATGTAAGTGTGGTTTGGAGAGTCGGGTCCTGTTAAATCTTGTTGATTGATGTCTTTAATTGTCACATTTAGGAACTTTGCATATCAACAATACTTATTCACTGTAGCTCAGTTGGTATATCGCTCGCTTCTTGATTCGTGAGCTCGAATCCAAACAGTTCCTTCACCATGCTCTCGGCACTTTGAAGTGAAAGATGTTGGTGGTTCGGAAATAGTTCAAGGTCGATTTCACACGGGTTAAAATAATCATAAAAAAGAAAGTGCAGTTTCCAAATTCCATTCAACACAAGCGCTTTCTGGAAGTGAACTGACCCAAACCAGGTTATATCCGATAATTTGGCCAAGAATTAGAGTCATTCCTTATAAATTAATTTTAAAATTATTAATTCTTAAATAATTAAATAACTGTGGATATAAAATTGTGTTGCTATTTATAAGGTCAAATTTACCGCGCAAAAATACAACCGTAGTAACGGAAGTGATGGGAGGTAATAACTGATCTAGCAGTCATGATGTTTGTTTACATGAGGTAAGATAGAACACAGACTACGAATTATTTTTTACTTTACATTCCTTTATAATATAAAAAAATAATTTAAAAAATTACACCGACTCAACTTACCTGAAACTTGGCAGAGAGTGAGACCAATTCTTGTCGAAAAATGTATCAAACTCTCAGAAACATTCATAGTCTGCAAGTCCTTTTTATGGCATCGCAAATAGCCCTTGTCCTGCTTTTTTCACTTTCTCTTCTGGGAAAGGGTAAATATGGGCCTCTTTACATCCTACCTACTACGCGCTTAAAAGCAAAATTTCCCATTATTATCAATTTTATAATTTTTTCAGACCCTCTCCCTTCCATTTATGCCCAAAAATAACCCCATTCCACTCCATAAACACCACAAAGAATTTTTAAGAAAAATCCTCTATTTTTAAACAGGAACTATTTGCGTGGTCAATGAAATTAAAGGTAAAATTAGTAGTCTGTAACCTAAGATCGAGACATTTATTTAATCTGGAATTTTCCATGGATCCCGGCCGATAAATGGAAATGAGGGGTTTGCTGGGATAAAGGTGATTCAGCTGGTTGTCAAGGGTGTGTGTCCCCATACCAAACCAGATTATACAGAATATTTTGCGTTCCTTTTTGGAACTCAACCAATTAGAGGTTGGAATACACACAAAATTAAATTATTGGACAATAAATGAATTGAATATGCACTCCTCCGTGGCACCTTATCCCATCTCTGACGTTTTGGAGGTCCGTGTTTGCTCTGCTCTTATTTTGTATTGTTTATGGACTTTGATAGTGAATACTGTTCGTTATCTTCATATCCTTCATATTTATATATTTTTAACATTTTACAGAGGAATAGACCAAAAATGAATTTGCATAGACTGAATAAACAGGAGCTCAAAAGAAAGAAAGATAATTTCCTGAACTATGTAAGGAAATATTTTATCTTTTTTCTCATAAAATAAAAATAATCAAATTTAGTCAGTAACACTTTATCATTCAAATACTTTCAGTGTTTTTAGTTTGCTAGTTTAAACAAATCATCCCATGCTTCATCAAACGCTCTTTTGTTTTTGCAAGATTCATGTATGCATTAAAGAGTATTCAAAATGTTTGATAATTTAGATTTCCTTATTTTTTTTTTTGTAAATGTGACAGTTATGCTTTCATGATTATTTGATTTCATTTTAAATCAATATCAATTAAAATGATTCTATGCTAACTTTTTGGTGCTTTCTTCATTATCACGTCTTAATCAATTTTAACTTTCCTTTTCCCGAAATCTACGACTCCATTAGAATCAGGTTGAAAAAAGAGAATTTTTATTGAAATAATTTTAAAAGTAATCCCGATCCGTATATATTCAAATTAATATAATTTTAAAGAAAGAAGCATAAAACACATAAATGAACGTTTTCTGAAAAACTTTATATAGGCAATTTGGATGAAACATTTTCTTTATCTGATATAAAAAAAACCCCTCATGACTGGTTTTCTTACATTTTCATTGGAATTGACAGTCAGGAATATAAACATTCCTCTTGTTTACCTACAAACTAGGCACCAAAACACAGTGTGAACTAAAATCATAGTCACCGGAAACAAATTGAAAGCGGGGGGTGTAATTAAAAGTGGGGGGGGGGCTAAAGCAAAAAAAACGGTAAACCACAATTCTCAATACCTATACACCTGTATAATGCAAATATAATGTAAGTATAAAAAAATGGAGGGTTAGGCCCCCATAGCCCCCTCCGGTTTCAACGCCTTTGAAAATTATTAAGAATCACCAAAGAAATTTATTTTTCAAATTTAAGAAATAGTGTATACACTTTTCTTTTACTAGATCTTGACCTTAAGACAGAAAATCAAGACGATCTTAAGTCAACATTTCAGTATAATGGAGGTTATAATAGTATTTGTGAAATTCATTCGAGAGTCATAATTTTCCCGACATTTATATTTTATTATTTGTTCTTGAAACAGTTTTGATGGTCATGATACAAGTTTTTATTTCTATATTCATATTTGAAAATTTGTTATTATCTAGATCGGTGCAGGAAGCATAATTGTTAATTGTGTTTTGGCCGTTTAATATTCGTAAAATCAATTATTAATTTCAGATAAGAGGGCTGGTTATCAAGGTATTTTTAGGTCACCTGAGTAAACTCAGGTGACCTATTGCTATCCGTTTTCGTCCGTCGTCGTGCGTCGTCCGTCGTGTGTTAACATTTTAACATTTTCAGCTTCTTCTCTGAAACCACTTAACCATTTTCAACCAAATTTGGTATACAGCATCTATGGGTGAAGAGGAACAAATATTCTGAATGTTATGGTCCCCGCCCCCCTGGGGCCTTAGGGGTTGGGCCAAAACCACTAAAATTAGTGCAATCTTTAAAAATCTTTTTCTTTACTCCTGGACATCAAGCAGTAAAACCGTTTGCATGATTGTAATCAGCATTGAGTCCTCTTCGAAAATTGTGAAATTCATGGCACTGGGGTCAGGGGTTCTAGTGCTAGGTCGGGGCTTAATAAGTAAATGTATATAGTGAAAATGCATAATTTCTTTGAAAATCTTCTTCTCTGATCCTGGGTATTAAGTAAACTAACTAAGTACATAGTTATGATGAGCAAGAATGCCTCTTTCAAAATTGTGAATTTTATGGCCCCAGGGTCAGGGGTTCTGGTGTTATGGCGGGGCTCTAGTGATTATATTGTGAAAATGCCTTAATATTTTGAAAATCTTCTCTGCTCCTGGGTATTAAATAAACTAATTAGGTACATAGTTATGATGAGCAAGAGTGCCTTTTCCTAACTTGTGAATTTCATGGCCCCAGGGTCAAGGGTTCTGGTGATAGGGCGGGGCTCTATTGATTATATAGTGAAAATACATTAATTCATTGAAAATCTTTCCTTTGATTCTTGGTTTTATGCCAATGATCCAAGTATATGTATTTATGATGAAGAAAGGTGCATCTAGCAAAATGGTTATTTTTTTGCCCCCCCCCCCCTGGGTCGGGGGGGGGGGGGTACAAAGTCTGAAAATAGATTAATGCTTTGAAATCTGCTTTTTGGTTTCAATCAACTATTTTATGATAAAATTTGCAAAATTTTTAAATATTTGGCCCCAGGGTCAGTGGTTTCTTTGGGATGAGGTGCACAACTGGTTATAAATTGGAAGTGCATTTTCTCTTTGTTACTCTTATCTACCTCTGGGTATTAAGTAAATAGAGTAAGCATGCTAAGTCTATAATTATGATAAGCAAAAGTGCCTCTTTTAGAATTGTGAACTGCGAATTTCATGGCCTCTAGTTTAAAACACGAACCAAATTTAATTGTTTGAAAGTTGTTGCACAATACTCAGGTGACCTATAAGGCCTGTGGGCCTCTTGTTTTGAATTTTAGCTTGGCAGCAATGCGCGAAGTGTAATCATTCATTTCTGATTAGTTACTGTCAGTTATTTTGAAAAAGTCATACATTACGTTTTACTACAAAACTTAATGGAAAGCATATGAATATAGACTTTTAATGACGGTTAACTTTCATCTAGTATGTCTTAAAGATGAAGTGCATTTCAAATCATTGCGATTATGACGTCAGTTACCAAATAACTTTCCAGCTTATTACTGTGAAGCCATCTAATGATGGCTTAAATTATTCAAAATGTAGTATATTGAAGTAATAAACCTTGCAACAAGAAACCCATTGACCTTATTGGTCACATGAGTATCATGTAACAACTTTCTAACAATGGAATTGCTAGGTGTTTTAAACCAATGGCCATGAAATTCGCAATTTTGAAAGAGGCATCATTGTTTATCATACATGTAACTAAACACTTATCTTTCTTACTTTGGTTACTTTATACCCAGAGGTAGATCAGAGTAACAAAGAGAAAATTCATTACCACCTTATAAGCAGTCGTGCACCCAACCCCACAGCAGGGACAACTGACCCTAAAGGCATATTTTTCAAAATTTTGGAAATTTAATCAAATATTTCATTTCATCATTAATGATTGATTAAAACAAGAGAGCAGAATTCAAAGAATTGATTTATTTTCAGACAATGTAACCCCCCCCCCCCCTACTCAGGGGCCATGAAATTAACCTTTTTGGATGAGTCACCACTAATCATCTTAGATCATTGGCATAATACCAAGAAGCAAAGGAAAAGATTTTCAAAGAATTCATGCATTTTTACTATATAATCAATAGAGCCCCAAACTAAACCAAAATGCCTGACCCAGTGGCCCTGAAAATCACATTTTTTTAAAAGGCAGTCCTCTTCATCATAAATTTGTACATTTACTGATTTATTACTCAGGAACCGATTAAAAGATTTTTAAAGAAACTGTATTTTTACTGCATTATCAATAAAGCCCTACCATAACACTAGAACAACTGACCACGGGTCAGAAAAGTAAGTCGTATTCAACATAACTATGTACTTGGTAAGTTTATTTTATAAACATGAGCAGAGAAGATGATTTTTAAAGAATTAATGTATTGTCACTATATAATCAAAAGAGTCCCACTCTAACCCCAGAACCCCCAACCCAGGGGCCCTGAAATTCACAATTTTGGAAGAGGCATCCCTTTTCAATATAGATATTAACATAGTTCACTAGTTTAATACCCAGGAGCATGGGAGAAGATTTTCAAAGAATTTATGCATTTCACTATATAATATTATATTTTTACTATATGATCTATATAACCCTACCATAGCACAAGAATCCCTGACCCTGGAGACATGAATTTCACAATTTGATAGAAGACTCAATGTTTATTAGATTCCTACCAACAGTTTGACAGTTTGATGTCCAAGATTAAAGAAGACGATTTTTAAAAATTGCATTAATTTTAGTGGGATATGCCCCATCCCACAGGTCCCAAGAGGGCAGTGACCATGAATTCACAATTCATGTTCCCTTCTCCTTTAAATGCTTTATGCCAAAATTGGTTGAAATTGGTTAAGTGGTTGCAGAGAAGAAGCTGAAAATGTGCAAATGTTAACGCACAACGCACGACGATGGGCGAAAACAGATACATGTATCAATAGGTTACATGTACCTGAGTTTACTCAGATGACCTTAAATACACCTTACATTGACTGGATCGTGAATCTTAATGGAAAACAATTTATCTGAATTGTTTTTTTTTACCCCCAAAAGGTCTTATTTAATCAACATTATTATTTATTTCTCGCATGATTCATTATCATGAAGAAGATGGTATCTATTTATGACCTTGATGAGAAGAAGCCTATTTAGATAGAACCGAAATGCTCAAAATTGAATTATTATTAAACCAGATAATTGAGATTAAATATTCATGTTTAGCGTTATTCATTCTTAAAGCTGTGAAAGCCTTCTTCCTTCAATAATTATTATTTCAAATTGTTTCTATTCGTGTACTCTTCATAAATGAGCTTTACATACATGTAACTACTACTGGGGTACTGTATATACTTTGTCATATGATGTATTTCAATTGGATTTTGTATTTAAAGACTCTTTCTTTTCATGTTTTTTAAGGATTTTGAAGATCAGGGGGGATATGAAGAGGTAAAATCCTTTCTTAAAAAACTGATTTATATAAAACGACTTTTTTTATTTTCCATTTTATTAGAAAGAGATTTTTATCCTTACTTTTCATCCATAAGTACCTATTATACTTAAAGCTGAGGATGCAGACTACTGAAACAGGTAATATAGAGCAAATCAGCGACTGCTTAGATGTGAATCATCCCATTGCATCTAAAAGAAGATTGAAAGCCTTCTTGGTGGTTCTCCTTATCATCATTCTTATCTGCGGGCTTACCACGATTGGTGTATTATTTGGTCTTGAAACACGTAAACTGAAAGGTATAAAATATTGCGGTTACGAAATCATTTACTTAAGTGAATGACATAGCAGTACAGAACTAAATTAACCTGGTATGCAAACATCCATTGAATTCAAGTATGCTTTTAATTATAAGCAATGAAACATAATTGGGCTAAATATCGGCTGCGTTTAAAAAAAATATAGGCGTAATTGTTCATGTTTTTTTTTCTTTAGCACATCAAAGCCACTTTGATTAAACTGATATTCCCAATGTTGTGTGGATTCTAATATGATGAAATTTTGCCCCCTTTGAGCTAAAAGTAGATCTCCATATGTTTTTTTTTCTCTGGAACTAGTATTAATAGTATAAAGGATATTCTAAAAACAAGATCACCTAAGTGAATGTTTTGGTCCTTAGACATCCCGTTGAATCATGTTACTTTTGTCAATGAGATTATTTATTTAAAAAGTTCGAATGATTATAAGATAGAGTCATTCCCATTTGCATGTGAAGATTACAAAATTCAATAAGTGCATCAAAGGCATTCTTTGACTTTGATTTTCAAACAACCTTAAAAGATACGTCGCTGCTTGAGAGCCATATTTGTTTGTAGGAATAAGATTTTTGTAAGGACGAACAAGACATTAGAAAACTAAATCTTCGTTCAGACAAATATTTTCTGGATATTGATTTGAAATGGATTTTCCTTCGGACAAATTAGATATTAGTTTAAACGGATTTGATAAGCGTTCGTACGAATTCGCAATTTGTTCAGAACAAATCAGATATTTGTTTTTGAACAATAAAAATGAGAAATTATACATATGTCCCTTGCTTTATTTTTCCTATATGAAATACTATTAGAATACATGTATGAAGATTACTGGTACTCAAAAATGGTTCTTGTAATTGTGTACCTAACTGTTCCTTCTGTCCTTGTAATGTTTTTCTTTTCTATTTGTGAACATTTATATTTTTTAACTCATTTGACACAAAAATACATATTTCTTTAAGAAATAGATATGAAGCAGTTATCCCAACCCTTGATTAAGGATGAATTTATGAACAACCCTTGTAGAAGCAAAAGCAAAAATCCGAAATTAATAGATCAAGGGAAAAAAGAGTGGGGTAAGAAATGTTTTATCGGTGTTTGTTTTTTTATCTTAAAATTTTGAACTTAGTATTCAGAATATATTATTATTGCAGGAAGCAGAGGGCGAAGTTTTTTGGTCAGTTTTCTACAAAACCACAACAAGGCAAACGAAACTAACCGTACTATCATCGTATCATCAGAGACCGACTTCGATTTAATAGTTTCACTGCCAGAGAATCAAAGGTCTAATTTGATCTCAATATCTACTCTTAGAAGTAGAAATGTCACCCTGAAGAAGCTAGATGTACACCATTCCCTGGTTCCATCTTACAATACCACTGAATCTAAAGCTATTATTATCAACACCTCCGTGAGGACATCTGTGTTGTCCGTGACCAAACATGATGTATCCTCAGATACCACAACAGTTTTCCCCATCGACAAGCTTTCAACAGACTACATAATATCAACAGCAACACCTACAGATAAATTCTTTGGGAGTGGAAGTCATTTTACTATTGCCGCAATGAAAGACAATACGATCGTAAGCATAGTGTTTAAAGCTGATCATGACATAGATATAGTGCTACAAGGGAAATCTTATGGGAGCGGGGATACATTTAACGTCATATTGAACAAGTATCAAACATTTCAAATCGGACTTAAAGCAGACATGACTGGTACAATGATTCGTTCTTCAAATCCTGTCGCGGTCTTTGCGGGGAATAGGTGTTTAGCTGTTGGGTATCTTGGGTACTGCAGCATGCTTATGGAAATGGTTCCCCCAGCTGATAAACTCGATTATGTTTTTATTGTACCACCAAACATTCATAGGTATCAATCGCAGGTACGCATTTTATCAGCTGTCAAAACCAAAATAAAATTTACTACAAAAGACATGAAAACGACAGGACTCCTTCTGAAAGATAGATTTGCTGATTTCATCATCCGTGAACATGAAGTAGGTGTTGTGTATTCCACCGAACCTATATTGGTTAACAGTATTGCACTCGCTTCAACTAAGACTAATATATACGGCGATCCGTTCATGGTAACCATTCCCGGAATAAATCAGTATCTCAACGAATACATCAATGTTGTTCCTGATGGGTTTACTTTTAATTTCGCTACTTTCATGATAAGAAACGATTCTCTGAGAAGTCTGCAAATTAATGGAACAAACATGAACATTTACAAGTGCCTTTTTCACTCTTCCGTCCTGGTTGGGACAGACCTTTACAGTGTTTGTACTGTAAGTGTTCCATTTGGAGTAATTGATGTTAAAACTTCTGATGGGTCTCGGTTTGGTTTCATTGTTACAGGTCAACGCAAAAATGACGGACATGGTTATGCAGGAAATGCCTTATTAACCGCCAGCTGTGGGACTTAACTATCAAAACAGGGAAATGTAATCGAAAAATATCGAGGAGGATCATCTTTAAAGACTTAAATGAAAAAAGTTCAGTCAGAATTTTTAAAACTTAAAACGTCCTCTCATTTTGTAGCTATATACCTACAAAATGAGAGCACGTTTTAAGTTTTAAGTGTTGACATCCCTGTCACAAATAAGCATTGGTTTTAAGTTTTGTAATACACAGAGGTCAGAGAGAGGTCAGTTATGGGCCAATTTTCTCATTTTTTTGCACATTTTTCTCGATTTTAAAGCTTATTTTGCTTCGGAAAACATAAAGCACAAGCATGCCTACCTCCAAATTTATAAATTTTACACACTAGTGTAGGTAGGCATGCAAGCTTGTGCTCTATGTTTTCCAAAGAGAAAAGTATCTCAAATATTCGACCAGAATTAAGGAAATTCCGGAAAATGTTCTACTTTTTAACCATTTTGTGACCTCCATGTAAGCTTTGAATCCAAATAAGTGTTAGTTGTACAGCAAGCATCATTTCAAGTTCTTTACTACAAAGTATCACAAGTTAACCAGTGTTCTGATTTTACATCAAATAAGGGGCCAGATTTGGCCGTTTCCCTACCTTATCCTTTTAAGACCAGTGCTAGCTACATAGTTTATCTCAAGAATATTTTGCATTTAACACTCTAATTATAAAATTACTACAAGAAGGACATAATTTTTATCAACATTATATTTTTGAGGACCATATTTCCAATACTGACTTTTTAAAATATATTTCTTTCCACGTGGATTAAAATTTAGAAATGTTTTTCTTTATAATGGTAATAGTCTCATTTAAAGAAATAGAAATTTCCGTAAATTTTTCTCTAATTCTTTCTTTTTTTGTTGATAGGATATTAATGGACACTGAAATAGAAAGCATGGCAATAAAACTTTAATAAGAGAATATAGACTCAATTTTATACTATATACATGTATATACGAGGGTTGTCCGGTACAATCGTGGACAAGTTGTCTGGTGTGAAAAATAATCATCACTGCGTTCTGAAATTTTCACTACTCTTTAGTTAGGAATCAATCTTCAATCGGGAAAAGACATACGATCTACTGAAGATTTATCAGTTAGTAACGGATAATAATCTCACCATCTTATAACTAATATAGTAAATATACACTCTTATATCGACTGTCGGCAGTGAAAGCGTTTTTTTTTTTTTTTTTTTTTTTGCTATCACCATAGTAGTTTGCCCGTATGTTTTTACTACCCAGGGACCCGATTAAAAAAGGGCTTCCTAAGAAAAGTCTCAGTTCATTTGTATAATAAAGATCTGGTAATATTTTCATTTTTTTTCTTCTGTATTTATATACAGTCTCCTAATAAAGCGTCATTACAACATCTAAATCGAACTCAACTGCTATTTGGTGCTTCATAACCTCATCAAACGTTGCAATTTTTCGGGTGTTGTGTTAACCACTTTCCCATTTTGAATGCTCGGGAAAGTACCAAAAATTGACCAAATGCACTGAGAATTTTCAAAGGACGACAAAATAGATTTTTGAATTGAATAAAGATAATTGTTATCCCAAGTTCATACATTTGAATCCTTTATTTCGAATTAATACTTGTGTATTCTCTAATAAAACCTAGGTTTTTTGACCGTGCGCCTTAGGACCCTGTGCACATTTAAACATAATAAAACCTTAATTTTTGTCTATAGATTACCAAAAAAAATTATGATGCGCTAAAATAGGATACACATTTATTGAAAATTTCAGCTTAGTGCGTCCATTACTTTTTGAGAAAAAACCTATGTCCACGGTTTTAATGGAAACCCCTCGTACAAAACAATTCATATGTTCTTTACACAGTTGTCATGTATATATCCTGTAATTCTTTATGATTAAATGTGCATTATCAAAATGTTACTCTTTTGAATTACTTTTTGGCTTGTTTTCCCGTAAGTATGAAGGGTTATAAAATGTTACTTGAGCAGTGCAATAAAATTACTTCATCATTCTATGTATGATGTGCTTAAAAAATTACAAGGAACATTAACAAACAGAAAACTTCTGACAATGTTGCTTTATACAGTTCAAACCAGACCCAACCTGAAAAAAAGTTGTCCAAGAGGAGTCCCGGGGACTGTTTTCCGCTATACATAAGACTGCTAGAGCAATTCCAGATTAATCCCAGCCAGAGAAAATGGAGGATAATCTAATAAATGTATTAAAATTTGCATTACGGTTGAATCTGGATTGATGAAATTAGTTAATATGCATGTAAATCAGGCTTTATATAATGTGGATTTCATTATTAGCTCACTTGAGTCGAAGGCTCAAATTTTTGCATAATATTTTCGGAAAATCTTTACTTTACATATATCTTCAATCCTGAAAAATTCTTACTGAAGTTATTTTAACATCAGGCCATTTGGCATTTTTGAGATAATAAAATACAACAGAAGGAAAAGGTGTTAAATTTATTTTCAATGTATAGTTTTTTTCTGCTTAATTGTAGTTCAAATCTTGAAATAAATCAATAGATTAATCTATAAATTATCCGAAATATATTGTACACGTAATATGTAAAGTTTTCATTGATAACAGTTTCACATTTAGGTTTCAAAACAGATTTACCGGACAATCCAAAAAATATTAGTGAAATCATATCTCTGTTATACGCTCCAAAATTCTGATAAATTCTGCACATTTTTGTGTAGCAACCAGCAGAATCTTGGAGGGTAACAAAGGTAAGAGTTTAATCAGATTGAAAAGAAGATAACAATTATACATTAAAAAAATGTGTTCGACTTATTTTGAAATACCGTATATACTCGCCTATAAGTCGGTATTTTGGGAGTTAAATATTGGTCTAAAACTCTATGTCCGACTTATAGGCGAGCCATAAAGAGATATTTTTCTGGAGGCTGAAATTTAGTATATTATTTGCATTTCCGACAATTATCGAAGAAAATGTCTGGGTATAATATATGATAATTTATGTATTCTTAGATTATACATATAAAGTACAAAAATTTACATATTTTAAACATTTATTTGGATTTTTTAGTGAGCATTACCTTTTTTAAAATGATTTAAGATTAAATAATAGTGTCATTTCGAAAAATATTAATTGAAACCAGGTGAAAACGTCTATTGATTTACTTGAAATTGGCATCGGATTTTAGTAAAATATATACCGACTTATAAGCTTATCATTAGCAAATCCCACCAAAATAACGTCAAAAAATACAACCAACTTATAGGCGGAACGACTTATAGGCGAGTATATCGGTAAATGATCATTTTAAGTGTGTTATTTCTACCTTTGTTCATCACTTTTACATACGCACACACAAATGAAAAGCGAAGCCGGGATGCGCTCCTGATTCGCTTTCTGTTCAGTTGTATCCGTCGGTACTGTAACTTGACTGTTCTAGAGAAAAAAACATTAAAGATTCCTTTAAGATTTTCTTCCTACATGTATATATCAGTTTTGTCATGGGTCATGATTTGAACAAATTTAAATCTTCAATACTTGAGGCTCCGTAGGGATCCGGGTTAGAATAGGTCCTCAGTACCCCCTTGCTTATAGCTTGTCGTAAAAGGCAACTAATTGGGGCGGTCCTTCGGACGAGACCGTATAAACCGAGGCCCCGTGTCACAGCAGGTGTGGCACGATAAAGATCCCTCGCTGCTCAAAGGCCGTAAGTGTCGAGCAGAGGCCTAAATTTGCAGCCCTTCACCGGCAACGGTGACGTCTCCATATCAATGAAATATTCTGGAGAGGGACATTAAACAGTATACAATCAATCAATCAATCAATACTTGAGAAAGCCTCTATATCATGACGACTAAACGTTGCGTTCCTGTTCTTCAGAGAAGATTGTTTCCCCTATTTTCTAATGAAAAAAAATTGGTTTGGGGGTTGTGATTTAAACAAACTTTAATCTAATCTACATAGGATATGTAGAATGCTTCCAAATAAACATCACTAATGATGGCTTTGATATTTTTGAGAATTTCTTTTGAAAAGATTTTTATCTAATTGTATATCGAATGTATATGTACAGCGGCATGCTTTCTGGAACATTTATAAACGTTCTCTATATTTTCACTTTATATATGTCTCGTACAGTGTATATATATTGATTACTGCAAGAGCAAAAATGATTATCTATTCCACTACTGCATTGCAATACACAAGGGGCGAAGATTACTGGCGGCAATGTTTTTATGTAGTCTAGGGCTATACAGCAGTTTAAAATAGCAAATAATTTCATTTATGGAATTTTGAAGACCTTATATTTGTGAGAAGTCATATTAAACATTTCTCATATTAATTAGGCCCCGCCTCCTTACTGCAACCTTAACTATGCTGCGATGTTTTCAGATGAGGCGCATTTTTACTTGAACTCATGATGTTAATAAACAGAACATCCACTTTTGGGAAACAGAAAAAAAATAAATCCTATGTATAAAATCCTCTCCACAGTGAAAAAGTTGCAGCTTGGAGGCCTTAGTGCAGGTGGAATCATTGGTCCGTTTTAATATTCTTCACGTTTTAATGCATTCATCACGTGACTGACCATCGATGGGACTAAACTTCATGCAGTACAGATTGGGTTATACTATGCTATTTCCATAGGTATTAAGGTTCTGTGATAATAAAACAGCTTAATTAAAATAAATTCAATTTTTAAAAAGTCCACCTCTTTTGCACGTCTATTTTCCGTTAATTTCTCATAGTAGGCATTAACAGTGCTGCGTGTTTTGTGGAGGGTTTTCTTATAATTCAAGTTCCCTAAAGAAATATATAGTTACCTATAAGGTATCGCATATAGTTTATTTTTATGATCATTTTTTAAATAAAATTTATAAGACATATCAAGCTTCCTTTTCTTTCATGTTGTCAAAAGAGATATTGTATCGATTTATCGTTGAAAAGTAATTTAGCATTTTGATGTTGTAGCAAACATTAATAAAAATTTCTCGTACATTTATTTCAAACTTGTACTTTGATTAAGAGATTTTTAATTAAAAAAGTAAACAATTTTATATATATACAATGCTTGAATGGTCATATATTAATAATTTGATAAATTTTAATAAATATGTATCATAAATGATGCAACTGCTTTGTAATGATAAGACATTCGATGATAATAGCAATTTTCATATGGATAATAAAAATTGTATATTTATTATAAAATACACATGCAAAATTTTTTCCACAGCATTACAAATTAAGGATAAAAAAGGCATACATTAGAAAGACGAACTTTACATTACATGTATATCACAAATGAAAGCATTTTATCAATATGAAAGCATTTTATCATTATGTAACAAAAATCTATTCGATATAATGTGAGATTTTCTCACTCATGGATTTTTTTATATCGACTGTGATATTCTTTTTATTTTAAATCAAAACGCATTATTGATGATACAATTTTCTAGAGAAAAACCCACGTACTAATGAAAAATGTCATTATTTTTTTTATCCATGATGATAGAAGGATAGCCGTCTCATATTAAGGTACCCGTATTTAGTTAACTTGCTATCATAATGCTATGAATCAATTTTCTGTCTTAAATTTCATAAAAACTATCTGCATACGATGATCATAAAAATCATTCTTAGTCTTTTGTCATAATTTTTTTTAAACTTCATGTCATAATCAAATTTGGTGTGTATATTTTACAATAGATGGAAAAGAGCAGAACGTTGTTGACGTTGAAGGACGTCATGGAGTAGTGAATGCAATAATTGATTTGCATTTAAGAAACTTCAGAAATAAAATCTGAAAAATTTCAAGGCAAAACGGTTATATAGAACAGATTATATTAAAAAGAAACCATACATTTGTTTTCTGCAAGGAAAAGACTGATCGAAAGAGACATCGTCTTCAAAAAATAGATTAAAATTAAATACCTTCAAAATACCTTCGATATGAAACGTAATGGGAGTTTCATTGTTTTGCAACTTCTAAGAGCGAAAACACACGGTAATAAATTCGAAAACACTACCAATCTTATTAATTTCTTGAAGAAAATGTTAACAAACAATACGTTTTTTTTTGGATACGTTTTCATGAATGAATAAGAGACAACAAATCCTGTTTAAAATACATTTTACAAATGTAAAAACTGTTCTTCCCAAGTTATGTGCTGTGGAATCATCATAGTTCGATGGGGTTAATGTTCGTGGATTTCTTAGGTTACTTTTCTCCACGAATTTACACTCAAAAAATCTAAATGTCAAAGACATCTTATTTCAGAAAAAAATATAGTTTTGAAGAAAATGGAGTGAATTTTTATTCGATCTTTTTCCATCATTCCGTAACAAAGACTATATCAAGAATGTTTTAACAAAACATTGATTACTTAAGTACTATTGGCCACATTTGAATTCAGTAGAATATTGCTCGATACTGTAGCAGAAGGTATATTATTATATTGTATTTTTTATTTATTCTATTTCAAAGGAAGATGATGTGCCATATGGAAAGGTATAAGAATTCTCAATTAGTTTTCAATATAAAAATAAAATCTCTTTCACCGTAAACCAAGTTATCACCTTTCCTTTTTTAACACAAATTATCAATAACAATTTAATATTGATAATAAATCTTACAAGCGAGTCAACAGAAACAAGGAATAGAGAAGAAATTAAAATAAAACGTCCCCAAAAGTCAAGAAGATCTTTGAAGCTTGTTTTGGTGTATCTCCTTGTCATCGTTCTCGTATGCCGGCTTGCCATAACAAGTGCGTTATACGTTCTCGAGAAAAGTATAACGAAAGGTAATTCAAGCCGGTCTAACGATTCCTTATTAAGGTATGTCACTCGTGAAATTAGTTAAATCAAGAATTTTTTTAGAAGTATATTTTGTATAGTGTGACTCAAAATCGCAGGGAAAATAGGGGTCAGTGTGCATCTTACTGATCTAGTGTACAATTAAGTTGACCTATTTGCACTTAAACTTTAACTCTTTGGTAAATTACTTTAATCTTTATTACATCTTATCAGATGTAACCATGGCAATAAACATGATTTGTTTTACAACAAATAGTTGAATGATATTAATCACTGAACAAATCTTGCAAATTACTGCGCGTAAATTATTATGTGACCTTTTTGCACGAAAAAGTAACATGTTTGGGGTATCAAAAAACTAAATAGACAATAAAACCTTTTCTTAAATCAAGCTTTTTACGACTTTAGTGCTGTAGAGGCAATAGTATCGAGTACTTTAAAATAATGAAAGAAAAAGTTGGTGTCAGTGGTGTTAATTTCGCAGCAAGGATAAGGCTGCCCGTAAAATATCAAACTGTAGTAACTTCTCTGAACTACCTAGATATGACGTCATACACTGTAATAGCATATTATGTCAAATCGCTGCATACATGAGCTGACATGACGGGGGAAGTGTCATAATTTTTTAATAGCATGTAGTTTTATTATGGGGACTTGTTGTTTAATTTAAGTGTTAGGATTGTTCTTAAGCTTGAATGTACTGTTATGATGTTGAACATTTGAAATTTAAATATTCTTGTTCCTTTCGCTTGTCCTATATGCACATATTCAAACAATGGCAAAAAATTATGTGTGAAACGCTCCCCTTATACGTTCGTAGACAAAGTTAGAATTTAAGAATCGTGTTTATATTGGACTGGCACAAGTGATAAACAAGGACAAATTGAAGATATTCTGCGTGAATCTAAAGAAACGTGTGTCCGATAACTAAATTTTGCTGGGGGATTGTATGTAGTTCATCAGTTTTTGTATAAATTGCGAAAAAGAGTAGAAAATACCCCTTCTTATGTTGGTAAGTTCAACTTCTCGCAAAATATTTTCTTAACGAGTAAAAATTAAACCTGCCCCCAGCACTTTCTATGTCCCAGAGATCACGAAAAAATGATCTATGTAACAAACTTTGCACAATATTTTTCTTTTCACTTGTGCCGAAGCGATTTTTGTGCAACAATTAGGAATATCAAAATTCTACGTCACGTGATCAACAAAGTCATGTGACATCACAAAAATGCTTTAAAATAAAACCTGATTAAACCATTAACTCAAGTTGACTGCAATTGCAAGCAAGGATTACATATTAAATTAATTTCTAGCTCAAAATATCAAGTATATTTTTTAGGCCTTTTAAGCCTTCGGACGGCCTTATCATAACTGCGTTTGAAATATTGGTCAAAATATATTTTCAGGCGAAAAATGGTATACATTTTATCTAGAGTTATTTTCCCATCTCTATTTTTGGAAAAAAATGTTGAAGGAAGATGTAAATCTTCTTTTCAAACTATAATTCAAGATCTATATTAAATATTCCTAGCAATACCATAACGGAAAATATATCCGAGTTACACTACTGAATTAAATATCCCCTTAGATTCCAAAAAATCCCCTGTTGTCCCCCTGTCAGTCCATGACATTTTCCTGTCTCTCCCTGGCTTTTTCCTATGATCCCCTGTCGTTGTCCCTGCTCTCCCTGTCCAGTCCCTGTCGTCCCATGTCGTTGTCCCTGCCTTCTCTGACTACTCCCTGTCGTCCCCTGACATTCTCTGATCTCCCTGTCCAGTCCCTGTCGTCCCCTGTCGTTGGCCCTGCCTTCCCTGTCTACTCCCTGTCGTCCCCTGACATTTATTCTGGTCAAGAAAAGGAGTTTAAAAAATATTTTTGTTGCATTTAAGAGTGATATAGTCTTGAAAACTTTAAGGATATTTTTTGAAAATATAGACTTAGTAAAAAGTTAACACATTTTTAAATGCCTTAACTTAATCCCCTGTAATTTAGTTTCTATTTCTTGTATCAATGTGATTTTTTTTGGTTTGGTAGCATTTCGGGTGGAGAACGGCAGAGAATTGCATCGATTCTAAAGAAGAAATAAATTGCCAATTTATTTCATCTTGAGATGGTAGACGGCATATACATTGTACTTTATGAACCTTTTATATATGTTTATAATCTTTTTCATTTTTTATTTGATCTACTTTGAAACATCTTTGAGCGTAATAAATGTCTTTGTAAAAGAACTAGATTTAAACAATTCGGAATACATTATCAAATCCATGCATGGGATATTTTGTTTTCTCAAAGAATTAACTGAATAAAAAAATAATTAAAAGGAATGATATATAAATGCATTAATAAAATAAATTTTTATTTAATAAATAAAAATTATTAAATAAGTAACAATCTATTATATTCAATTATTTTCTTATGTGAATAAATCTACAAATCGACTGAATTAAGAATGAATGAATAAATAAATAAATGAATAAATAAATAAATAATGAGAATTATATAAAGTTATTCATTTATTTGTTTATTTTTTAATTTATCACTCATTTATGTCTCCAAAATTTGTTTTATTACTTTTATTTTATTTATTTGCTGAAATATGCTACAAAGTATTTTATTAGCATATTTAAACGACTTTTTATTACTTTAAGTCCATGATAAGACAATTTCTGGCTATTCGAAGCTCGTTTTTGCTTAACTTTTTGTATAAATTATTGAAAACACAATTGAGTGAAACTGTCATTTATTCAAATAACAAATGACTAAGAATAAAATCTATAATACATATTACACAAAGTTATAAAACAATTAATTGGCTGGGCTTAAAATAAAATATACAGTTGATCACAAATTGACTAGTTAAAGTTACATATTAGTCACATGACATAATTTTTTCTAATCACATGACACAAAAAACAGCCCAGCCAATAATATAATGGTAAAAAACACTTAAAAAGCAAAAAGGTGGTGCACAAAAAGGCACACGACAAAAAACTTGCATATTGTTAACATATTTTAATACAAATTATGCCTTATTAACAAGTAAATTCATAAAAATTGGGTGGTGGAGGGGAAGAGGTGGTTGCTGAAAATTTGTGTGGCTTCTTCGACGATAAAAAATGGCTAGAGTGAATTAACCACGTGATACGTATAACTTTATTTGATTGGTCCAAACTATAAAATCTAGCCGTAAATGCATGGGGCACCCGAAAGGGAAACAAATAAATGGAGAATTACATAAGTTATAAAGATTATAAAATTTTGTATATAAAACAATTTATTGTACCAATAAATGTTTATTTATATCCACAAATTTTCCTGATAATCCGACAAGACAATTTCTGGCTATTCGAAGCTCGTTTTTGCTTAACTTTTTGTATAAATTACTGAAACACAATTGAGTGAAACTGTCATTTATTCAAATAACAAATGACTAAGAATAAAATCTATAATACATATTACACAAAGTTATAAAACAATTAATTGGCTGGGCTTAAAACAAAATATACAGTTGATCACAAATTGACTAGTTAAACTTACATATTAGTCACATGACATAATTTTTTCTAATCACATGACACAAAAAACAGCCCAGCCAATAATATAATGGTAAAAAACACTTAAAAAGCAAAAAGGTGGTGCACAAAAAGGCCATAAAGGAAGAAACATGCTGCCTAATAGCATGTGACTTACTGCGCCACCCAAGAATAGCCAGGTAAATACATTATAAAACAATAAATAGTGAAAAAAATAAAAATAAGCTAGTGTGATGATTAAAATAAACACAACAGTGTAATATCTGGCCTGTGCAATACTTTTAAAATAGACATAAATGTAAGGTGAATAAATAAAGACAACAAACATATTGAACATTGCAAAAACATATTTACAAAACAAAGTAACACAAATGAAATGACATGAGTATGATGAGTTGGGGGCAAAGGTTAAACTATAACTTATAAACAATAAAATGTGAAATGTGTAGCAGCCGAAAAACTGGCCTACCGAGTGTTCATGACAAGTTGGTGGGAACAGCAGTCAAACCTGGCCTGTTCAAATTGTTCAGATACATAATATTATTATGTTAGCGGTGCAAAAAATGTGGAATGGGAGTAGTACAACATTGACCGATTGTTTGAACGATTATAGTGAAAATGAATTGATTCTTATGTACCGTTGAACTGCATTTGAATGCCATCGACCGAGTTGCTGAATATAACTTTCAGAAAAACCCAATCGGGCGGCTTCCGTTGCCGCACCAATCCTAAAACTGTGTCCTTTATAAAGATTTGGATTTAAGTCACAAAATGTCAAAGCCGATTTCAAATTTGACACTACAAATGAACGAGAGACTGGTGCACCTGATTTAAATGAAAATAATGGGCCAGATTTATGATTGAAAGTACAAGTGTACAAATATAAGGCATGAACAGGACAAATTTGAAAATCTTTGCTCGATGAAAGCAGAATGGTAACAGGTTGGTTGTTTTTCATGTGTTTGAAATATCGGAGCCTGATTTGTACACCCTGATCTTTGACAAAAGTAAGATCGGCTCTTTGGATAACCTTAGTAACATGTTCTTTATCTTGTACAACTAATTCTCCTAAGCGAAAGAATCCATGAAAGGCTAAAAGAAAAATTGCACGAAGCATAATAATATTTTCATTATCAGATACAGTCTTTTGTAGAGCCGATAAAAGTTTTAGCAAAATGGGCTTGGTGATAGGCATTCTAGTATCTGGAGAGGTTTTCAACTGTTGACAGCCTTTCAAGATTTTTCGAACCACGAAATGATGTGTCGGGTCATTAACACTGCAAAGTTTATGTACATAACTTATGGCAGACACGTGGGATGTAATTGTAGAAGCACTAAGGTTCTGAAAATGCAGATGACTGATAAAGTTAGAAATCAGAATTGGAGAGCATGGAAAAGTGAATGAGGCATCCGAATTGCTGCAATAGCTCAAAAGTAATGTCCAGCTTCGCAGATAAGCTCTTCGAGTAGATGGTGCTATGGCTGCTACCAGCAACTGGAGGCTCTCGCTGGTTAAATGAACACCATCTGTGACGGGAGAGGTGTTGGTTGAGGATTTAACCATGGGGCTATTGCTTTGGCTTCCTGAAATTTAAAACGTGACAAGTGGTCAGCAACAACATTTGATTTTCCAGGAATGTGTTTAGCTCTGAAAAGAACATTAAAATGAAGTCCCGCAAGCACAAGACGGCGCACTAATCTCATGAGGGTTTTATCTTTGCTCGATTGTTTGTTAATAATTTCAACCACAGCCATATTGTCAGAAAAAAATAGTATTTTATGGTTTCTCAGTTTTTGACCCCACAATTCCAAAGAGAGGACAATTGGAAATAGTTCTTTAATTGCTATTTGGTATGATTTGTGTTCTTCCAGCCAAGAGGCTGCAAACCATTGTGAACCTAAAACAGCTGCGTACCCTAAAGAGCCAGAAGCGTCAGTAAACAGGTTAAGTTTGTATGACGCTGTCCATTCCTCTTGGAGAAAAATTGACTTGCCATTGAACTCCACAATAAAATCTTGCCAAGCTTTGATATCACTCCTCGCTTCTGAATTCAGCCTGATATAATGATTTGGGTTGTCTACATTGCAAGTAAGGTCTATAAGACGTCTAAGAAATGCACGACCAGGAACCACGACTGAACAAGCAAAATTTAACAATCCAATGAGAGATTGTAAATCTCGAAGTGAAATTTTCTTTCTTTTGCTTGTAAATGCAAGAGCAGCTTTGAGTTTATCTAATTTGTCAGATGGAAGTCTGCTTTCCATCTTAACAGAGTCAACCTCGATTCCATAAATTGTCAATGTTGTTGTAGGGAAAACGGTTTTTGATTGTTTGATTGGTATACCAATACTCTTGCACAATTTTTCAAAATTAAGTACATCTTGCAAGCATTTTTCTGAATTGGGGGGAGCAATGAAAAAGAAATCATCGATTAAGTGGGACATACCCGAAGCATTGTATTTATGGATCATTATCCAATGAAGGGCTGTACTTAATTTTTCAAAAATTTGGCAAGAACTACTGGCTCCCATTGGTAGGCATTTGTCAAAGAAATAATCCCCATTCCAACTAAAACCTAACAAGTGATAATCAGAAGGATGAATGGGAATGTTCCTAAAGCCGTCCTCAATATCCATTTTTGCCATTAATGAATAAGGGCCAAATTGTTTGATTAATTGAATGACATGTTCAATTGATTCATATTGAACTTGAGAATTGCATTTTGGAATATAAGAATTGACTGATTGATTCTTCGGAAAAGACAAATCATGGATTATGCGAAATTCTCCTGGTGCTTTTTTAGGGACTAAACCTAATGGGGAGCAAACATAGTTCTCAAATGGTATTTGTTTGTGAGCTTCAGAGATACGACCTAATGCAAATTCTTTGTTTAATTTTTCTTGCACTACGTCTGGGTTTTTGAAAACAGAATTGTGATTTTTATGTACACAATGGATTGGCTCTCCTACACATCCTAATTTAAATCCAAACTGAAAACCATTTACCAAATAATCCGAGAGGTTGTGATCATAACCTTGTAACTCACAAGTTAGATTCGGCACGTTTATTGGCGTTGGAATTTTGCTTTGGGTACTTTGAATTGGTTTGGTTTTTTGAGCATTTAATTCTTGGGTGATTTGAGTCTCCACAGGATTGACAGGCATGTTTATAGGTGCAGGGGTTTGATCTGCATTTGGTGCCATTGTTGAAGTTGAAACACACTTTGGGGTATTTGTCATTGAATTTGGTACGAAAATTGTTCCGAAAAAGCTGTTTCGAACGATGAATGGTGCATGCTGAAACCATGAGTTCAGAAATGGTTCTTTGCCAGGGCAAAGTATGCGATTGGCGGAGTTTTCTGAATGATTCGTCATAATGACGCCATGCTGCATCACCATTCGTGGTTGCGATTTCTCTAATCACTGAAGCATATTTCAATAAATGTGGGGCATCTTCAGGTTTCTTTTCAATATAAATGGCCATGAAAATGTGAAATGCAGTAGTCCACTGTTCTATTGACAGAGAGTTGGTAGATTTAGAAGCAGATTGATTTGAGAAACTAAGAGAACTTTGATCAATTTGAATGGAGACAGTGCTTTCTTTGTAATTGGGAAGTAAGGATCGGAGATCAAAAAATTGATCAGACCAAATTTTTTGCTTGATTCTGTGTGGGGTGTTTGCACCTAGAGGAATACCCTCATCTATAGATAATGGCGGATTTGTACTAGCATTTGCATTATTGTTTGCCCCCAACTCACCTGCAAATAATTCGTGTAATAGAGATGAGAAGTGGTTGCTGTAGTTTTGACTTGTGGATGGAGCTTCAGTTATGGTAGATGTCTGTGAGCTTGTTGCATCCGTTTGGGTTTCTACCCTGGGCTGGATAATTGTGTTCATATTTGTCCCAGTATCCTCAATTGATGGCGTTTCCTGAGTCGTATTGACGTTTTGGGTGGGTTGTGTGACAGTTGAAACTTGTTGTTTCTTTAAAATGGCCTCAGCTAATAAGTCATAGTCAATGTTCAGAGGACCCATGGTTAATTGATTGTCCACAGAGATTGATGATTGCTTTTGCCGTTTATTTGAATTCTGCTTTGTCCGTTTTGACCCATCTTGTTGCGAAGTTGGTGGTGGTTTTCTTTTTGGACCCATGTTGATAACTGAAAAATTTTGTAATAATTAATAACTGACATCCACTTGAATCTATGTCAATATATTTTGAAATATTTCAGAATAAATATGTATAAAATACATATCACCAACAAGTTAAGAAATTTCAAAGTAATTGATTTTAACAGCTTTGAAATTAAAATATTGTCTTCAATAAGCATGATAAGTATTTTGGAATTCAAAAGAATTTATGTGATAAAGGACATCTAGCCTATATAATACATACAGAATTCCATAAGCCAAGAAGCCAACTCATTTGTAAACTTCCAATTTGAATATATGATTAAATTATTTCAATCTATAATTTAATGTTTATTAGTTTAAAACAAATGTGAATTATATGACCTGGAGAAGTTGAAATATTGTAGGATAAAGTCCATAAATAACGTGACTTAAATGTAAAATACTTGACTTAAAATTAATAATAGCATTGATCATGAACATCATGACCTTAAATGTTTATAAAGTTGTTAAACATTCAAGCCAAGCAATTGTCATTTATAGACATAACATAAAAATGCCAGATAATGCATTCACCCATATTGACGTGGTGTAAAATGCATTATAAAAATTAGATACACCATAGTTGACAAGGTGTAGAAATGTTAAAAAATGCATCCGCTATAATTGACATAGCGTAAAAATGCATTAATTTAATTAAATAATTGCATCCGCTGTAATTGACACAGCGTCAAAATGCATTAATAAAAAAAAATTGCATCCGCCATAATTGACACAGCGTAAAAATGCTAATAAAAATGCATCCGCTATAATTGACACAGCGTAAAAATGCATTGTAAATTTGTATATCTGCCATAATTGAAAAGGCATGTTAATACTTCCAAGAAATTGTATTCACCATAAATGATGTTGCATAAATTCTATAGATTAACAGTGCCATTGCTTATGAATTTAAAGATTACTGTGAATAAAATTCATAATGTAAATGAAAGAAAATTGATATAACAATTTAAGTGATTCGAATTAATGATCTGAATAGCATATATGTACTTCAGTCTTTATCGACATGATAAAATTTTAGGGTATATAATCAATTATGTTTTTAGCTTAAGCCCAAACAAAACACCCTAATAGTCATAAAAATTATTTTGTGTATGGGCAACAGTGTAAATTTTTACATAACTTATCTGAGCATGAAGGTGCGAGCACAATGTAGAATTGCACTTTTGATGCTTTGGGCATATTTCTGCATGGGACGGGCATTTACCCTCGGATTCTGTAGATGGACACCATCTGGTGATAAGTGGGGCAAATTCGGATCCTTCCAGAATCCATAGTGATGCCAAAATCTCAAGTTTGCGTCCGAGTTTACACAATTCGATTTCAATAACACATTCAGTTCTCTAACTCTGTTGTTGTAATCTGGATCTGTAGCATGTGGTGACCTAAAGAGGACTTGGCCAATAATCACAACTTTCACCTTTTCCGCAGCGATCAAAAAAGAAGCAAATGATGTTATTCCATTGGCAATGTCTTTCACTGGAATCGCTGGATCACATAAGTCATTGCTTCCGATTTGTAAAAAACAAACATCTTGGTCCACGAAGTCCGTCAATTGTGGGCTGTTGGCTAATTGTCGGATGGATAAACCTCCTCTCGCTCGAAATTCAACAGAGAATTGTGTAGAATAAAGTCTCAAATTGCTATACTCAGGTGTTGACAACACAAAATCACGCAAACGTCGTATAAACGAGTGTCCCAGAATCACTACTTTTACCCGTCCCGCAGCCATGTTTACATAAGGTGTCTATTTATAGATGTAAACAACACAAGACACAGTCCACTGTTTACATCAAAATATATGCGAAATCGCTAAAATACGCACCTTAAATATCACAGTCTATTCCATCATGTAACATATAATTACGTTCTGCAAAAGTTTATGCCGAAAACGATGCAAAAACACTGTAAAATACAAAATCACTTGCTGAAAATTTGTGCGGCTTCTTCGACGATAAAAAATGGCTAGAGTGAATTAATCACGTGATACGTATAACTTTATTTGATTGGTCCAAACTATAAAATCTAAATGCCAATTTATTGTAAATGCATTTTATCATCTTATCAAAGAAATAAGGCACCATTTTATGTTCGAAAGGGAAACAAATAAATGGAGAATTACATAAGTTATAAAGATTATAAAATTTTGTATATAAAACAATTTATTGTACCAATAAATGTTTATTTACTATTATTAGCTTGAAACAGATATTTCCTCTGAGCTGAATTTTGCTTGTAATTTTTGAGTGTATCTTAATGCAGATCATTTTTGAATATTTTTCATTATGGCATTTTGAATATTTTTCATAATCGCTTAATTAAGATCGGGTGCACATTAAAAAATGACATCCTGAAGAAAAAAGGATTTAACATTTACAACCGAAAATCTTTAGTTTAACCTTGGACATGTATTGCTTAAAAAATGCAATACTCTCAGAATGCTTGTTTTTATATAGTCTTTATTATATTATGCTCAGCTCAGGGCTATATGAAGAGTTGTGTACTGTTTCTCACAATATCTTGTATATCGAGTTAACAATTTACAGAATGTTTAACACAATTTCTCTAATGATGCGAAGATATCAATGAAGTTGATAACCATTTTTTGCAGCATAAGAAAAAGGGAACATTTGATAATTGCCTTATATCTGAAGACATATTAAATGTTTACTAGCTGCCTTACATATAATTCTTCAGGGGCATTATCCCCGTAAGGAAGTCTCAGCATTGTTCAGTATATTTTAATGTTCAGCAAAATCCTTATTAATGGATTTTGAGACATTTAATATCTCATTTTAAAAATGGTTCAGTAAAAAAAAAAATATGCAATCAATCTGAATCAGTGAAACATTTCATTAGAACCTTGCAATCAATGTCAATTGCATTTTCAATATATTGTTTCACTCGTACAATGAGCAGTAGAAAGTTTAGTAATGATTTCTTTATTTCATTTGAAATAATCTAACAGTACTATTTTCAATAGTATCATATTATCAAAAAAATAATGATAATAATAAAAATTAAATATATATATATATATATATATATATATATATATATATATATATATATATATATATATATATATATATATATATATATATATATATATATATATATATATAATATGCATTTTAATAATTAGATAAGTATACAGTAGAAAAATTCAGAAAATGTTCATAAACATTAAGATACTTGTGAAAACATTCAATATATTGTTCCAATATTTGTGAGAACATTCAGCATAACATCGATTAGTTTGGTTTGTTTTTTGTGAATGTTTAAAGTTTTGATTGATTGATCGTATATTGTTTAACGTCCCTCTCGAGAATTTTTCACTCATATGGAGACGCCACCACTTGCCGGTGGAGGGCTACATAATTTTGTCCTATGCTCGGCACTTAGGGCCTTTGAGCAGTGAGGGATCTTTTTCGTGCCAGCACTTACTGCGACACGGGACCTCGGTTTATACGGCCTCATCTGAAGGACCAGTTCCCACATCCAGCAGTAGGATTCGAACTTGCAACGTGAGGATTGACTCCTTACTTCGCGACTCTAGAGCAGACGCTCTAACCACTGCGCCACGCGGGCGACTTAAAAGTTTTGAGGGAAACATTCAGTATAATGATTAAAAGTTTTCCTGGGAAGATTAAGTTTAATTTTAATTCAAAATTTTGGGAAACATTCCGTTCAATGTTTCATTGTTTTTGTGCAAACATTCAATATAAGGTTTCAAAGTTTCTAAAGAAACATTCAGTGTGCTTCATTGTCTTTGTGAAACATTCATTATAATTTATATTTCAAAGTATTTGTCTCAAACATTCAGAATAATGTTTGAAAGTTTGTGTCGATACATTTATTATGTTATTTCAAGTTTTTGTGGAAGCATTCAGTATAATGTTTCAAAGTTTATGACAAAACATTCAGTATAACGTTTCAAAGTTAATGTCGAGACTTTAAGTTTAATGTGTCAAGTTTGTTAAGGAAACATTCAGTATAATAAAATGTTTCAAGTTTTTGTGGAAACATTCAGTATAATGTGTTAAAGTTTTTGTAAAAACAATCAGTATATTGTTTTAAAGTGTATGTCTACGTATTCAGTATAAAGTTTCAAGTTTGTTTTAGAAACATTCAATATAATGTTTCAAAGTTTTTTAATGGAAATATTCAGTATCATGTTTCATAGTCATGTATTAGTGTTTGTGGAAACATTCAGTATAATATTTCAATATTTTATGTTGAACAATAAGTATAATGTTTGAATTTTGTTTTGGAAACATTTAGTATAATGTTTCAAGTTTTGATGGAAACAAGTATGGTGTTTCAAAGTATTTGTGGAAACATTCAGTGAAATGTTTCAAAGTTTTTGTGGACGATTGCGCAGTATAATGTTTTCAGAGTTTTGTGAAAGATGCAGTATAATGTTTCAAAGTTTTTGTGGAAACATTCAGTATAATGTTTCAAAGTTTTTTGTGGAAACATTTAGTGTAATGTTTCAAGGTTTTGGTGGAAGCATTCGGAATAATGTTTCTAATCTTAGTGGAAACATTCAGTACAATGTTTCGAAGTTTTGGTGGAAACATTAAGTATAATGTTTCAAAGTTTTGTGGAAACATTCAGTGTAATGTTTCAAAGTTTTGTGGAAACATTCAGTATAATGTTTCAAAGTTTTGTGGAAACATTCAGTATAATGTTTCAAATTTGTTATGGAAACATTCAGTATAATGTTTCAAAGTTGGGTGGAAGCATTCAGTATTATGTTTTTAAGTCTATGTCAAAATATTCGGTAAAATGTTAAAAGTGTGTTTGGAAACATTCAGCATAGTGTATCAAATTTGTTATGGTAACATTCAGTATAATGTTTCAAATGTTGTGGAAACATTCAGTATGATGTTTCATTGTCATGCATTAGTATTTGTGGAAACATTCAGCGAAATGTTTCAAAGGTTTTTGTGGACGATGGCGCAGTATAATGTTTTCAGAGTTTTGTGAAAGATGCAGTATAATGTTTCAAAGTTTTTGTGAAAACATTCAGTATAATGTTTCTAGTCTTAGTGGAAACATTCAGTATAATGTTTCAAAGTTTTGTGGAAGCATTCGGTATAATGTTTCAAAGTTTTTTGTGGAAATATTTAGTGTAATGCTTCAAGGTTTTGGTGGAAGCATTTGGTATAATGTTTCTTATCTTAGTGGAAACATTCAGTACAATGTTTCGAAGTTTTGGTAGAAACATTAAGTATAATGTTTCAAAGTTTTGTGGAAACATTCAGTATAATGTTCAAAGTTTTATGGAAACATTCAGTATAATGTTTCAAAGTTTTATGGAAACATTCAGTATAATGTTTCAAATATGTTATGGAAACATTCAGTTTAATGTTTCAAAGTTGGGTGGAAGCATTCAGTATAATGTTTCAAGTTTTTTGTGCAAGCATTCAGTATACATGTAATGTTTCAAAGTTTGGTTGAAGCATTCAGTATGATGTTTTTAAAGTCTATGTCAAATTATTCGGTAAAATGTTCAAAGTGTGTTTTGAAACATTTAGCATAGTGTATCAAATTTGTTATGGAAACATTCAGTATAATGTTTCAAATGTTGTGGAAACATTCAGTATGATGTTTCATTGTCATGTACTAGTGATTGTGGAAACATTCAGTATAAAGTTTCATAGTCATGTATTATTGATTGTGAAAACATTCAGTATAATGTTTCAAAGTTTATGTCAAAACATTTGGCTTAATGTTTTAAGTTTGTTATGGAAACATTTAGTATAATGTTTCAAAGATTTTATGGAAACATTCAGTATAATATTTCAAAAGTTTTTTTGGAAACATTCAGTATAATGTTTCAAGTTTTTGTGGGAAAAGTTCAGTATAATGTTTCATAGTGTTTGTGGAAACATTCAGTATAATGTTTTCATTCTGTCTATACTATTGTGGAAACATTCTGAACAATGGTTTACTTGATAAAAAAATCATCATATCTATTCAGTAGAAAACATTCTGTTTCATATTTCAATTTGAGAGGAAAGAATTTTCAGTATTATGAGAACCTTAAATAGATATTTAATAATTTGTTTCATGCGGTACATGTAGCATGTCATCAAGACTGTTCTGAGAGTCTTAATGTAAAATTGTTTCTCATTTTATTTGGGTTCCAGTATCTACATATTCCTAAGCTTTAGTAGTGCATTAACTCATACACTATTTACCATGGTATTCTGTTACTTGTTGCAGTACATTGATGCCAAGGGCCAAACTGAACTATAAAGCGATCAACACCTAACTTCATGCAGTACCATCTAAGGCACAGAATGGAGAGGCAATGGGGTCTACAAATTTCAGATGACGGAAATTGAACATTATTGGAATGATAATTGCAAAATTGTTGAAACAGTGCTCTCAAATCAAACCTCTAATGCTGATATATGATCAAGTGATCAACAAGATCATTCAAGAATTTAGGTGCTCTGGACATGATGTCAGCTGTCTTCATAGTAAACTATTGGAAAAATGATGCTACCAAAGTGTGAAATCCACACCACCAGGAAGGACAAGCTACACCTCAATATGCTCAAGTCCCTCCTATGGATTCCATGTGGATATCTGTGTTGAATGGCAAATATCATTTCCTCCAACAGGTACCTACAAGGAACATCATATAGAGTAGTCAGCATCTGTCATTAGTCTACTGTGTAAAGTAAGATGAGGCAATGCATTAGCTTCTTATGCAACATTAATTTTTGTATCATTAATGTTGTAAATCTGGTCATGAGGCCAGCGAATGGTTTATCATATATTTCAAAATGTACATCCGCTATTGTCATCAACTCTGTATAATTCAGCTCATTTTTTATGAGGTCAGCACTTAAATGCCTATGTAAAATGTATTTTAGTTACTGAGCTTAGTGTCGATGTACTTGTAATGTCTCCATAATCTGCTTACTAATGTCAATGAGTTCAGCATTGAAACCGGCATGCATAGTCTTTGAGCTACATGTA